ATTGACACGTGCTCCCCAGGCTACGCAATAAGTGGGAATGCCTGTTGCCAACACGTTGTGCTGTTACATTGTAACGCTTCAATTCCCTTAAGCAACTGAAAACAGGTAAGTTTTTTAGGAAGCTGTGGACGAGTATTTAATGTTGCTGGTAGGTTGAAGCGAAGAGCCAAGGAATAAAATGGCCCAGGGATAGTGTAGACAGGAACGCTAGTTGTAATGAAGGTGCTATGCCCAGAATTCCTGGAAAAACGAACAATGGTTGATTCTTCCTCTGACCCATGCAAAGGCTGACTTCCCTCTATCCCACCATCATTCTGACTGCACTTTCAGGTGCTCTGGGCACTCCTGTCCCATCGACTGGCATGAGTGGGTGACACACCAGCCAAGAAGTCTGAATGCCCAGCACTAGCCTGTTAGCAAGGACCAACCACAACTCCTATGTGCCAATTCCTGTGTGACAGCAGGAAACATTTCCAAGTCTAAGTGGAAGAAGTGTTCCTCAGATTTCAAATGGCTGAAGTGGAAAGTATAAACAACAGGACACTATGGGAAGGGGAAAAAGGACAATTTTAGACTAGGTTTTTGGAGGGAGCAGAGCACTGAGGTCATTAAGTAAATCCCACTTAGATACAGAAAGAAAGCCTCTGGGCACAGCTCTCCCCTTCCGCATCCACAAGATGCAGATAGCAGTTGACGCTCCTGTATGCATGGTCATTGTGTTCTAAAGTTGCTGCAGACGCCTATTAGTGAATATCAAATCATTACTTCTATGGGACATACAGGGTTAGGGTCCTGCGAGCCTTTGGGCATAACATTTTCGTCCTCGATCAATACATAACCTTGTTTTATGTGTGTTTCTGTTTAAAGACACCATATTTAGTATATGTGTTGTTGATTCATTAACATTAAACTCACAGCCACCAGCACCATAACTCCTGTCCGAACAAAGCTTGTCAAAGGTACACATTTTCTTCATAGGGCACTAGACAGCACTTCAGCACTATGCTTAGGGGCCATTTTGAACAACGAAATCACAACATAAAGCACAAAATTGTGAAAACACAGCACTGAATGCATTGCAAAAAGGACACGTGTTTACGGTATGAGCTGAAACAAGAAGGCAAAGTGTCACCTTGTTCCACCTCAGCTGGGAACATCTGGCAACTCAAATTTTTGCTGCTCTATGCATGTGAAGGAATGACTGGGAAAATGCAGCTGGTATTGATTTGGGGGTTACAAACAAATTTTATCAAATAGGTGAATTTGCAAATACAGAAGCCATGAATAACGAGGATTGACTAATAATAGTACCTACCTCAGCAAGTGTCATTATGGAAATAAATGAAATAATTCATGTTAAGCATTTAATACAGCATTTGGTACATATGTACTAAATATGTGCTAAACAAATAACTGTTTTTGCAAAATATTTGAAGCCCCTGTTAAGGTGCTATGTATATAACTATGCATATTTTCATATCCTGTAAATGGATCATCTAGAAAGAGGATGTGATATTGTGAAATATATGTTTGGTCTCTACTCATCTCCTGGCATACAACTCCTAAAATCCTTAGAATCTCCAAAGTCATAAGTGTAGTCTTTTTCTATGCTAATAAGTTGACTAATGGCTAGCGCCCCTGGCTGGCTTGAGAACGGGGTATGGTCAATGGAAAGACGAAAGTGGAACTTTCAGTCCCATCCTCCAACCTCTGCGGAGCAGTGAGGGGCTGAAGGTTAAACAGATCACCAATGGCCAATGATCTTTTTTTATTGGTTATGAATATTGATGGAGTACAAAGCAAATTTTCACCACTCATGCCTAATATGTAATGGCCAGATCCATACTGGCAGCATGCCGATTACCACAAATTGTGATTATACCCCATGTCCCCCACCCAATTATCCCCCCCTATTACCCCCAGCCTCCCTCCACTTCCCCTTTTCCCCACTCTACTTTGTATCCCTAGGTATGCTCTCTCCCTCTGCAAGTCCAACACACCACTGTGGTCTTTCTTTCCTTCCTTCTTTCTCTCTTAGCTCCTTCTTATGAATGAGGACATGCAGTATTTATCCCTCTGTGGTTTGCTTATTTCACTCAACATAAGTTTCTCCAAGCTCATCCATGTTGTTGTGAATGGGAGAACTTTATTCTTTTTTATGGAAAAATAGCATTCTAGGTTGTATATATACCACATTTTCCTTATCCAGTCATCCATCAACGGACATTTAGGTTGGCTATTGTGAACAGAGCTGCAATGAACACGGGAGTGCAGGTATCCCTTCAACATGATGATTTCCATTCTTTGGGTAGATACGCAGAAATGGGATTGCTGGACCGTATGGAAAATCTATCTATAGTTGTCTGAGAAACCTCCATACTGTTTTCCATAGTGAGTGTACTAATTTACAGTCCAACCAACAGTGCAGAAGCACTCCCTTCTCTCCACATCCTCACCAGCATTTATTATTTTCTGTCTTTTTGATAATGTCCAGTCTAATTGGGGTGAGATGAAATCTCAACATGGTTTTAATTTGCATTTCCCTGATGACTGGTGATGTTGAGCATTTTTTCATGTACCTGTTGGCTGGTCAATGATTTAATCAATCGCGCCTATGTAATGGAGCCGCCATAAAACCCAAGAGCACAGGGTTCAGAGAGCTTCTAGATAGCTGAACACGTGGAACTTCCTGGAGGGTGGCACACTGGGGGAGGCATGGAAGCTCCGCACCCCTCCCCACCATACCTCTCCTTGTGCATCTCTTCATCTGTGTCCTTTGTAATACCTTTATAATAAACCAGTAAACATAAATATGTATTTCCCTGAGTTCTATGAGCTGCTCAGCAAATCAATAGAGCCCAAGGAAGAGATTGTGGGAACCCTGATTTATAGCTGGTTGGTCAGAAGTTCCAGAGGCCTGGACTTGTGACTGGCATCTGAAGGGGGGTAGGGAGAGTCTTGGGGACTGAGCCCTCAACCTGTGGGATCTGACACAGTCTCCTGGTAGATACTGTTGGAATTGAATTGGAGGGTACCCAGCTGGTGTCTGCTCTGGAATTGGTTACTCACTTTCTGGTGGGGAGAAATCCCCAGACATATGGTCACAGAAGTCTGTATTGATTGTTGCTGAGTAAGAAGTAGGAAAACACCTCAGAGTATGCTTTCCCACTCAGAGGAATACAAACACAGCCTAATATTAAAATTACCTGGTAACCAGGTACAACATTTTTCTATGACTTTATGCAAATGAACTTTTAAAAACACTTAAAATGAAGCTATGTTTTCCATAGCAGGTTAGTTGAGTTAAAATTAAGACCTCTGGGAGACGTGGCAGTAGGATGGGGGGAGCAAATCAACTGTTTTGCAATAAAAATTGCCCCCCTCCTCCAATCTCTAATGGAGACAATTAACCATTACTGTGAAGTAAATAGTGCCATTTCCTCAATAAAATAATAGTAGGACTCAGTAAAGGGTGCTTCAGTGGAATTTTTTTTTTACTTTAAGAACCACATTGTTTGGCGTTTATTTTTACTTTGTTTTAATAGTAAACATAAGTGATCCCTTTTATTTGGCATAGAACATCCTTGCCAGAAAGTAAATATTTGATGATTATGTAAGGAGCTATAAACACAATTTCCTGAGAGATTAATCTAGGAAGAAGTTTACCTGCTTGAGCCAAATGGATTGAGATGATTTAAAAACTAAATTTCCTTCCAAATGTGGCAAGGTGGGCACTTTCTTCTAATTCATCCTTCACACCTCTCTGCAGCATTTGAAACATCTCGTCTTTAGGATTTGGAGTTCGAAACTTCGCTGAAATTTTTTTTCTTTTTTTTAGTCATCCACAATGCTCATATTGCTCTACCTGTACCATCCGTAACATGTCTCTTAATTGTCTCAACTCCCAAACCTGCTCTTCCTGCATCCCCGGTTTCCACTGTGGGATCACCGTCCTCGCAGTTACTCACGATTATATCCTCGGGTCCGCCTTTTTCTTCTTCCTCTTCATTGCCACATGCCAAACTCATCCAGTTACTTCATCCTAATGAGACTATTTTTACAGTGATCGTTATATCCATCTCCGTTTCTCCATTCCCATTGCCCTTATCCTAGCTGAGGCCCTCAATTCTTAGAGCCTGAGCCAAGGCAATAGCTTTGTAGCCCTCTCTTCATCTACCCGTGGCTACTGAATTATTTTTATAAAGGACCTGTTTTAGTCCATTTTGTGTTGTTATAACAGAATTACCTGAAATTGGGTAGCTTATAAGGAAAAGAGTTTTATTTGGCTTATGATTCTGAGACAACTGCACCTGGCACGGGCCTCAGGCTGCTTCTACTCATGGCAGAAAGCGGCAGGCAGCCGGCGGGTACACGCAGATCACATGGTGAGAGGAAGCAAGAGAGAGAGAGAGAAGGTGCCAGGGTCTTTTTAAGCAAAGCAAGCAAGAGAGAGGAAGCAAGAGAGAGAGAGAAGGTGCCAGGGTCTTTTTAAGCAATGACCTCTCGTGGGAACTAACAGAGCGAGAATTCACTCATTAATGCCCCCTCCCCCTGGGAGAGCATTAATCCATTCATGAGGGATCTGTCCCCATGACTCAATCAGTTTGCAACACTGCCACATTGGAGATCAAATTTCCACATGAGGTTTGGAGGGGACAACACATCCAAACTCCATCACCTCTCTTTTCCCTAAATCCCCCAGCTTCTTTGAAATGCATGACACTGGACTTTCCCGTCCATTACTCCCCTTGTTGCAGCCATCTACACACCCCCGGTCATGCCCCCTCCCACACTAATGATTGTAGCTCCCAGCTCATAGTCATTCTCTCCAACATGATTCTGTCACAATCATGGCGATTTCAACAATCAGCCTCTCTGTTCTATGACCTCCTCTCCTCCAGCCAACTTGTCCTTCACCTACCTCAGCCCTTCACTCCCAAGGTCATACCCTTGACCATGTCATTACCCGTAACTGTTATTATATTATCACACCCTGCTCAGGAATCTTCAGTGGCTCCCCAGTGCCCACAGAATAAAGTGCTTCCTCTACTCTGCTTGGCAGTGAGACTCTTCCCAGGCCTGTCCACAATCCTCCTTTATAGCCACACCTCACAATTGCTCTGCATGAAGCCCGGGCTGGGCCAAAACAACTCTTGCAGCTCTCAGCCCTCGCATCCTGCTACATTCCTTCTGCTTACGTTTTCCTTTGCCTCACTCTTGAGGGCTAAGGTCCATTTCAAGCCCAACCCAAATGCCACCTCCCCCGACAGCTTTCCTAATGCAGCTCCTGCAGTCAACCTTCCTCCTGAGGCCACAGCACACCCTGAGCCAGACTTGTAACCTTGCTTCACTATGGTGTAGATATTTTCAAACGAGATTCTTCAGCTGGTGAATGGAGATTTTTGTCTACATCGTGGAAGGGAAGTGGGAACTGACACATTCAATAGAAACAAGATTTGAGGTAGAAAGATACGAAATAGGTCCCAAGATTGTCCTGGGGGGGGGGGGGAAAGGGGGCCTTTTTTTTGGGAAAAACTTTCCAATTTTTTTTTTTTTTTATTGAGTAAATACTTGCCAATCTTTTTTTTCTTCAGGCAGTCATTTTTTATAAGGAAACTGAAGAGCAACACCCCCCACACCCACAAACACTCTGCATATTTTTTAAAGACATTTCTTCTACCCATAAGAGGAATATGTTTTAGATGAAATGACAGACTATGTTTTAGCTCCCAAAACATCAGGGTTATATGCAGCATTTCCGATGAAAAGGTTCATGGGTGAGAACACGATGTGGTAAAGAGGTGACCTCAGTCCCAGGAGGGAAGCCCTCTACAGGGCTGCAACGTGACGGCCTGCAGTGCCTGAGGCAGGCCGTGCACGCTGAAGAGCCAAGCTCCAGCCAAGGCCTTGTGGGCGACACACTGTCTGGAAGGACAAGGAGGGGAGGACTCACAGGGAGCCACCTGGGTGAGAGGCATTTTTCCATTTCTGGCTAATGGCTTCAGGAAAGAATCATGTTAATAAGTAGAACAAATTATAAAAGGAAAACTTAAATGTATCACTTATTAGGCTATAGAAATTAATTCCTAATGCCATTTAAAAATATCTCAGAGAGAGAGAGAGAGAGACAACAGTCATTATTTTGGGATGATGGGATCACTGTTTGTTTGTTTTTATCAGGCTATAGTTTTTCATTTTTTTAATAATAATTTTAGCTTCTAAGACAGTGGCTCTCAGTCCTGGCTGGATCCTATAATCACCTTGGAAGCTTTCTTAAAAATACTTAGGCACCCCCACCAGGGACTCTGGTTAGTCTGTGGCAGGACCCAGGTGACCATATTTCTTAGGCTCCTCTAATGACCAGGCTGGTCTGAGAACCGTTCCCTGGAGTCCTTTTCCTCCCTAACCTGCCCTTTTTATTCTATTCTAAGAAGGAAGATTCTAGAGATGAAGAAAATTAGTTTAAAAGAATTGTTAGTAAGAAGCAAATATGCTCCCTACCTTTTCCTCTGGCTGGCACAGTGGGTTTTTGTCCCTTTGAAGTGCAAATTCCCAGACTTGTATGTGTGCAATGGTGCAAGTCACACAGGGCCAGCCTTTGGTTTGCTTTGGTTTTAGGCCAGTCAGAGGACCCAGGCTGTGGGAGGCCAGCCCAGCTTCCCGCCGGCTGCATTAGTGTTTGGAGTGACTGGATATGCCCTTTATTCCCTAGGATTAAATCTCTCCCAGTAATCTCAGGAGGAAATGAGGTACATCAGTCAAAGCAAAGGATTCAGGAGTTTGTATCCCTTAATCAAATACCATCTGTCATCAACTCAGTTAAACCTGGACTTTTCACAATTATGTGTTGCTTATGTAATAAAAAATAATTTTAAGGTAAAAGAAAATTACTGCTAATTTGGGAAATGATTAATACTGCTCATTCAGTTACCCAGCAAATTATCCAGGGGAAATCTGCCATCCGCTAACAACTGCTGGTCCCACTCACTTGGCAGTTTTTCTATTAGATGGATTTAATAAAGATGGTTTTTAAAAGAAAATGACAGGAAAAATAAAAAGAAGTTTCTGTGTTGTTGGTAGAATCTGCACTAATGAGCCAACGAGCATAAAGGAGGGGAAGGCTGCTGGTCCCACTCACTTGGCAGTTTTTCTATTAGATGGATTTAATAAAGATGGTTTTTAAAAGAAAATGACAGGAAAAATAAAATGAAGTTTCTGTGTTGTTGGTAGAATCTGCACTAATGAGCCAACGAGCATAAAGGAGGGGAAGAAAATGTGCTTTATTCGGAAGGTGATTAAAACACAGAGGAGAGAGCCCTCCTTAGAGTAAATATAACAGAGAAGAAAAATGCAGGCTCTGTGCTGGCAAATAATTTTTCCCAAAGGAGTGACTCTATAGTAAAATGCTTAAACACTAAGCCGAAAATGGCCGGCTCCTCTTTTGATGCTAAAGGCCCAAGTAGACTTCCAATCAAGATGGCAGAATAGACAGTCCCCAGCATCACCTTCTCCCACAATCAACCAATATACAACTTTTAAAAAGTAATAACAGCAGAGCTGGGGCCGCTAGAGCTTAGGGGAAGAGGAGGAGAGACCTACAGTCTAAATAACTTGCCTACGGTTGAAAGTAACATAAGCAGACCTACGTACTTCTAGTAAACAAATATTAATCTTACTTACTAATTGCAGTAGCTGAAGCATTTTCTTTGGATTTAATTAATGAATAGAATCTTCTCCCTCATATTGGAATCATAATCTATGGAAAAATCTGGAAAGTAACTCAAAGATTTTTCAACAAATCAAAAGTTTATAGAATATTAGCAAAATCATTTTGACATTTTTTAAAAAGTAAATTGAGAATCAAAGAGAAAAAATAATTTTCCCCAATGTCACACAGATTATGTATGTCAGATAATATGCAAAGTTTAATTTTCCCAACAACTCTATGAAATAAATATTAATATCCCCACTTTAGAGATTACAGAAAGTTGAATAAATTCGCCCAAGGTCACAGAACTATCAAGTGCAGGAGTCTGAATTCAAATCTATGATTATCTGACTCTACTATCTGAATTATTACCTGCTGTACCATTACATCTTCCAAATAGTTATTGACAGAACAGGTAATAGAATTAGGGAAAAGATAATTTTAATACAAAATCAGAATTTTGTATATGTAAAACATGGAGCATTTAGGGGACCACATTTCTCTTGTCTACACAGGGTAGCCCTGTGAGTTCATGCTGAGGTCCCTGAGATGAATTAGATAGAGGGAGAAGAAACTCATTGCTCAGTAGATTTCATCATTTGCTTCCTAAAGCTAAGATCCAATGTTTAAAGCAGTAAACACATTAAAACGAGTAGGCAAAAACTTCACCTTCAAGAAACTACAACATCTCACTCTCCACCTGCATCCAGAAGTAAAGGAGTCAGGGAGGAGTCAGGCTGTTGTTTCTGCTGTTGTTTGAGAATGTTATCGTTGTTTCATTGTTTTTCTGATTATTTTTAAAACCCTATATGTGATGAGAAAAGTGCTGATTAACAGTAGACAAAATATAAAACATTATGTTCTTCTCCAATTTCTACTTTAGAAATGTAGGTCCCAACCAAATGAGGTTTTGCTACAATTCTTTGAAAATTAAAATGAATGCACTTAAGAAACATGCATCGAAGAAAGAAGACTTTGCTGTCAACCCATGAGTGTCTGCTTTCCAGTGATGAAAAAAGGTGGATGTGAATTCAAAGGAAGTTTATAATGTTGTGAGAAAATAGCTTGCACTTATGCAGGGGAGCCCTAAAAACTTGCTTCTGAGAGTTCATCTGCCTTTTGACAGAAGGTTAAATAAGGAATTGATGAAATCTATGACTGAGATCACTGAAAAAAAGAAATGCAGACTCAATAGCTCTTCTCGTTCCCTTCTAAGCTAAATTATCTGCTCTTTTGTGTGCAATAACTTTTTCAATCCTAGATTTTTTAAAACTATAATTGCGTGTAATTAACACAAAGGCTTTAGGCAGATCTCTGTTT